TTATTACTTCAGTCTGATGAAGAGATGGCCCTTTTTTTGCCAAAGCCAACTTCTCTACATATATTCTTGGTTCCATATCCTCCTACCTCCAGCAGACTGGCCACACCACTACACACCCACACTTAGATATTCTTATTTTCTGATACCTGCTTAAAACAACACCCACATCTCCATTCTTTGGGAAGGAAAAAAAAACCTTTGATACATCCCTCCTCAGCCTCAGCCCTATGTATCCTCAGCCATCTTCATGAAAGAGCATCTACATTTGGTGCCTCTACTTTTCCTCTTTTCTTAACCTTTGCGATCTGGCTTCCAACCTCACTTCTAATTGCCTTGTTTCTCCCCATTCCAGTCTACCACATAATTGCCAAAGTGATTTTCCTAAAGTCTGAATTTGATCGTGTAGTATCTCCATTCAAAAGACTCCAATGGCTCCCTATTATCTTTAGTATTAAATATAAACAACTGTGTTTGGCATTAAATCTCTTCACAATCTGAACCCTTTCAACCTTTCTAGTCTTCTGACACATTCCTCCTCTCAATGCATTTTACAGTCAAGCCTATTTGTTATTCCTTGTACAAAAAATTCTCATGTTCCATGCCATGGCACTTGCCCCGTGTCTGGAATGCACTTCCTCCTTATCTATGCCTCTTAGAATCTCTGGTTTCCTTCAAGATTCAAATGCCATCTTTTAACTGAAGCCTTTCTGATTCCCTCAGGCTGCTAGTGCACTGTCCACCTACCTCATATTCATTTGTATATATCGTGTCTGTAGTTACATATTTACGTGTTGTCTCCTTTGTTAGAATGTACGTTCCTTGAGGGGAAGGACTTTCACTTTGATCTTTGTTTCCCCATCACTTGTAACTGTGCCTGGCACATAGCAGTTGCTTAGTAAATGTTGTATGAATGATCATTTGATTGGTAGGACCTGCCAGAATTTAGATTCTGCTGGCATTGTGCTCAAGAACCAAGGAGCACCTCTACATCATGATGAAGCATTCATTTAATAGTGAAGTAAAGATAAATTGTGAGAATGTCATACTTGTGAGAAAGACATACTTAAATGTGGACTGTGCCTGTTAACTTGAAATTGGAATGAACAGGATAACCCATAGTATCCACTCTACAGTTTTCAAAAGGTGGTTATACAACTTGTATTTCTGATCTTATTTAGTAAAGGTTACTCCAACATGGGACAAAATGTTTCCAATAATGATCTACTTGTAGATTTCACTGGTCTCTCCTCCCTCGGTGGTTTAGAGATTTGGTACTGGTGACTTTTCTTTATACTAAAGTTTTAGACTCTGCTGCATAATTACCAGAAATAATTGGGCCCCAAGAGAATAGTCTTTAAAATATTTGGGGCTTTTGTTGTTGTTAAATATAATGCTGGAGTATAAAATAGGCATGAGGACTGGTGGGTGTATATGGAACTAGTATGTGCACCCTAGCTTTACTTCTGTAGTTCTCCCCCTTTGCTTTTAATTCTAGGGCCAAGCAGAAAAAGGACAGTTTTTCAGATACTTGAAGATCACTGTACCCCGTAATATGCTCCATTATTTTTAAAAATTGCTATAGACATCTTGGGGGATGGAGCAAACTTATAAATCAGTTGTTAGTAATTATTCAGTTAATTTAATCAGTGTAGTTAGCCAAGTAGATGAATATTTTTAAGATACTTTTTTATTGAAAGATGATATACAATACAACAATCACATCGATAACTGAACGTAACACTTTTCATCAGGAGTCATGTTTTTCAGTGTGTAGTTATATGCACCAAATAAAACATAAAAATTTGAATTGTTTCAACTCAGCAGTAAGTTTTCAGTATAAATCATTTCCTCTTTATATCATTCTATTTAAGGCATAATTTCCTCTTGTTTTTGAGTGTTTTAGTTACATTTTTGTATGAGCGTGAAGAACAGCAAGAAGGCCATTTTAGCTGGGCAGTAGTGTTTGGGAAGGGGTGACTGGACTATAAAAAACTTTGATGATGTCTCCTAAGACATGCAATGAAGGAAGGAAAGTGACTAAAACTTCAAAAAAGGTTGTTTCCAAAAGCTTTCTAGAAATGATGATAAACATTTCAAGGGACTGGAGAGTCTTTTGTGCATTTTAACCAGTCTTCTGGAGATGGTAGCCCCAGAAGTAGCATGATAAAGTAGAAAAAGCATTAAATTTAAAAGTTTGAATCTTTGGGTTTTATTACCAATTTTGTAACTTTGGGCAGGTAATATATATGGTTGGGGTCGGGTAATGAAGCACTCTAAATGCCAGGCAGGAGTTTGTATTTAATCCTAGAGATTAATACAGAGCAATTTGAGTTTGAGGAGAGGTATGACAGTGCTTTAGGAAAATCACTTTGGCATCTGTGTGGAGAAAGAAGACCAGGAAGAGGCAATAAACTCGATGAGAAGTGATGAGGGCCTGAATTAGGGTATTAACTGTGTGAGTAGGGAGAAGGGGCTCTATTTGATATGTGGAGATAGAAAGGACTGGATTTGACCACTGCCAGTGTGGGATGAGTAAAATGTGAAGTGCTGAGGCTGAGTGGATGAATAAAAAGGCATTTGTTAAGCTTTATGTCCCAGCGCTGTACTTAGAGCTGAGGATACAAACAGAGAAGTGAGTCACTACTTTCAAGTGTGTTCACATTCTAATTGAGGGAGAAAACACATATAGGAGGATTCAGCTGAAGGATAGATAAGTAGTTCTAAGGGCTCCAGGGAGGTACAGATAGGTAAGTTAGGTAGCAAAGTGCCAGGCGTTCTGGAGGGCATAGTAGTAAGACAAATGGGAAAGACTGGTGGTCCTCCACTTACTGGAAGGTTTATAGTTAATTCCCTGCTCATCCAAGGGGTGAGGAGGGCCTGAAGGGAACTGGCCGACCACTTTGGAGAAGGAGGAAGTAGAGATTTCAGCTTTAGGGCAGGGAGAAGAAAGGGCCATTGGCAGTAAGGTTGAGGGATGGCACCTTGTGACACTTGAGTTGTCTAGTACTTAGTTGGGATCTGAGTGGTCTAGAGGAGGTGAGTGTAACAGATTGAGAGCCTAGGTGACTGGAAGATTTATGGCACACTCAGCAGAAATAGGGATGTTTAAGAGGGGGTTTGGGAAAGAAAATGGGATGCAGATCATAACCTCTCCATATTTGCTCGTTCTATGTGACTGTTGGACACCACCGAAGATGAAAAAGGTAGGGAGAGGGAAGTGGCTCCCAGCAGTCACTGCCTAGAGTATGCAGCTCACTTTGTGAGGGACTTCTGGAGTAGCCATGAGGTAATCTGGGTCCCAGGTGGTATGTTCCCCAGTGGACCTGTGCAGGTTGCTGAGGGTGCCCTGTCTTTAATTGGGAACTTACACAGTGATGGGAGGAGGTGTAGTGGAGAAGTGTTGAGCAAACATGAGATGGGTAGATGAAACTGTTGGAGAAGTCCTACTCCTGATTATTAAGGATGCAACCCACTTTTCCAGACTAGTAAGATGAGATTCCCATCCTATGATGTCTGGGCACATACTGCTTGGGGTCATTCCACGATTGTCCACTTTGGAGACCATTTTCTAGTCTTCATCTTCACATCTTGTCCTCAACATGATTTTGTAGAGTGCTTTACTGAAAATGTAAGCAGTCTGTATACATGCACATGCACGGGAAGAAAGAATGCATTCCTCTGAACTATCAGTCTAATAGTTATTATGTAGTTATATGATGAAATTAAACTAGGCAGCTAGGTGATAACAGTGGAAAGAGTACCTGTACCTGGGACTCTTCCTGTACCTCGAGTCTGAAAGACCTGAGTTCAAATCCTGCCTCAGGTACTTATCTGTGTGACCCTGGACAAGTCACTTAATCTCAGTTTCCTCATCTGTAAAATGGGGATAATTATAACTACTTTCCAGAGTTGTGAAGACACAAAATGAGATATTTGAAAAGCTCTTCGCAAGCCTTAATAGCCCTGTATAACCTTTTATTATCCTTTCAAAATGTTCTAAAATTTTACCAGAAATTGAAGACAAGTTCCTAGACTTAACGCTTTACAGATTCATTTTTTTTTTTAAATCAGGACATGTCCTTTTCTAATTCAGCCCTACATTTATCATTCACCAGTCTTTCAAAAATCACCAACAGTAGGCTAGTTAACTAATAACTTTTAATTAATAATCTCCTGTTAGAATATTGTCCACTTGGGATTAGTGATTTGACCTCAATAAGTGCAGCTAGCTCACTCTTGGTTATCAAAATTCTCAGACACTTTTGTTCTGCCTTTTCCAATCCAAAAAAACCTTTTCCTTGGTAGAAAAAAAAACTAAGTTGAACATCTCTGCCTTTTCTTTGCTGTCAGCTATCCTAAATTTCAGTCCATCTTGTCCCTTCTTGGATCCTTTTTTCCCAAGTATAGCTAAAACGATGCTTTTTGCTATCCTTACCTTTCCTCACCAGGCTCAATTCATTCTAAGCCATTGCACTCCTGACATTTTTACAGGATCATACTATTATAGTTTATATTTTAAATCAAGGGTTATGCTTTTTTTAGGTCAACTTGGTCACTCTAAATTTTCTCCAGTGAAAGGCTAATGTGGCATGGGATCTTAACCCTGGGATCTTGAAGGTTATGCCATCAGCTGGAAAGGGTTCAGGGATGTAGTGATAGATTGTTGCCTTTAAGGTCTAAGAGGCTTATAACTGGAGCTATAGATTTTTGTGAACCTATCAACTCCTGAAACATGTAAGTCCAGCACTCACAGTACTGAAATCACAGATCTTTATTTGGGGTTTTCATGAAAGTGTTTTTGTAAATGCACTTTGGCTATAAAGGTTATCAGCCTAGTGATATGAGGAATAGTAAAAAGGATAGACTGCTATATTGGTAGGAATGGTTAAGCTGGGCTAAACTGTTTAAACTCATGGAAGGGTGGTATGAATATTTAAATTTACCTACCCGTAATAGTTTGAACACTGATTAGAAATACATAGACATTTTGAAAAAAAAAAGACATTTCCAGTTTTATTAGGCATCTTTAACATAGTCACACAACAAGAGATCATGCTCTGCATTCAAACAATATACTTTAAAAAAAAACCATTCATTGCATATTTACAGGTCTTTGTAGACAAAATGGAAAAACATGCACATTAATTCCCAAGACTGAGAAAAAGAATATTGTGGCCTGTTAAATAACAAAGCCTCAAACCACAGCCTACTAGTTTCTGAAACATTAAATGTTTTAAAATATAAACATTTACTAGAATTTTCCATTTAGGCATGTTTGTCCCCACAACTAGAAGTACAGTTTTTAAATGTCCTCATATATACTGACTTAATAATTTACTTGTGTTGTGTATGTGTGTACTGTTTCAAACTTGATGCTTTGCACTGATTACTTAATTCCTGCCATACTTTTAACATGCTCAATAGTTTAAAGTGTAATATTCTAACTAGTACCACTGTTCTCTTACAGATAAACGTAACTAATGGTGGAAGTAATTATGGTTGATTTAGATCTGAATATTAAACAGAAATGTTTAGGTTATATCCTTAAGATTCAATTTTTAAATCACTGAAAAGCAAGTTAAATTGCCATGTTTGGATTAGGAAAAAAAAAAAATCTAGTTATCTTTATTCCCAGACATTTACATTGCAGATTGTGATGAAACTGTATTTACAGTGGGACAAATAACACAAAATAGCTTTCCCTCATTGAATCTCTTTATAAGGTAAACTTCCTGAAAATATGTTTTAAGTAACATTACACTAAGCACTCTATAATCAAAATAAGTATTCATTGTGTTTGTAGGCAAGAGCGTGTGTGAGATAGGGTAGAATGGGGTTAATCTAAAATGGGGGGGGATGATTAGGAAAATCTGACATTTTTCTGTAATTTTCCACTGGACCTGCCTATGGAATATTCTGAGCAGAGATCTATTAGAAGATATATTCCAGTTATTTGTCTTATTTCTAGCAAAAATCTTTTCTAAGCTTTATAAAATTATTTTCTCAAATCTTTAATAGTGATTGCCATACTTAAGGATATTTCAAGTATATTAACCATGAAGTTTGGCTTCAAAAAAAGTTTTTTTAATGCCACTTTAATACAAAAACTAAATAAAGTTTGTTTATTTCCGATTCTCAGTTTTTCAGGCTAATTTCCTAAGCATTCAATGGTTTGTGAAATTTGCTCTTGAGAAGAGATTACTTTTGGCTCTCTTGCAAATGTGACTGAACAAATAGAAAATGTTTTATCATAAAAGATTTCTAAAATTTAAATACCCTCCAAGTAGCCAACTGGATGAAATATGTACAGTACAAAAAATAGTCTCAGAGTTTCAGCTTATGTTTGATTAAAGCAAAGATCTGCATAATGCCAGTCTTTGTAATTCAAGCCGAAAATAAAAACTTAGTTTTAGGGAGATACAAAAGTCTTAAGGCTCATGTGGTAAAGAGGATGAATTTTCATGATTTAGATTCATGGCTACATCTAGGTTGTTCAATGATTCCCTTAACTTTTCACCTTTTGAAGGTGACAAGCTGGATGAAATACAAATTTGAAGTAAGTCTCCAACCATGAACCTTACTTTAAGACACAAGGTCACTAAATGTCCATAGCCTTACTGTCTGAAACACAAAGGGCTATATAGGCATGATGTGAGCTAGTTAAGAGGAAAATAAAGTCAAATATAAGTGCTAACAATCATTTTCTGTGGCTAGTGCTTCCATATTTAGTGCTAAACAATATACATCAATATGTCACAACAGAAATATTTCAATTTCTGGTATCCAAAAAGTTTAAGTGAGAAAAATCAGTTGGAATGGTGTCCATCTTTGTTTGCAATGTTTTTCCCGTGGGAGAAAGAGCTGGGTCCAGAGAAAATTAGAATTAAAATGCTGCTATCTTGCTTGCTTCTCGTACACCACTCAAATATGCACCGGTGACTGTTTGTGGAAAGTGCCTATTTGTTGCCTGTAACAAAGAGAATGAAGTCAGATATAAAAAAAAAACCAAGGTAATAAAGTAAAACATGCTCCAAAATTACAATTATACATGCTCTCACAAAGCAAGGAAAAAGATCAAGGACGGTTTGGCGAGTTTAAATGAAAAACTGAGTTTTACTCTATAGACAATATACCACATAAGGTCATTCCCAATCAACGTTTTCCAATAATATTTTGATAAGACTATAGCCAAACCCCATTATAAATCCCATTGTACAATCAACAATACAGTAAGCTGATCACTGTCCATTTACCAACATGGTACCAACAAGCCCTCTGCAAAGTAATTTCCCCTTACACAGTATTTTTGTTGAACCAATTAGCAATGTTAGATGGGATAGATTACAGTGTGAACATGAACATTCAAACAGCAAGTAGGCACACACATAGTGTGAACATGAATACTCATAGTTAAAGAGATAATTTTTATAGATGTTATTACAAATCTACTTGGTACCTAGCTCCATTTATTTAGCCAATTGTTCCCTGGTCATTCCCAGGACATTTCACTAGCAATAAAATGAATCAAATGTGGTTGGAGGTTGGGGAATCAAGTCACATACCTCACCAGCAAAAAAAATAGTTCCTTGTATGTCTTCTGCTAGGATGTCATAAGCTTCACCACTTCCACCTGTTCTTACAAAACTATATGCCATCTGGATCCATGGCTCTGTGTTCCACCGAGTAACAAAAAAGTTTACTGGGTCTGGTATTTCCTGTGTTGACCAGAAATTTAAATAAAAAAGAAATCATACTATATAACTGAGTTGAAATGAAATATTGGGGGCTTGGAGGTAGAAAAAAAAAATAACTAATGGTGGAAGTAATTATGGTTGATTTAGATCTGAATATTAAACAGAAATGTTTAGGTTATATCCTTAAGATTCAATTTTTAAATCACTGAAAAGCAAGTTAAATTGCCATGTTTGGATTAGAACATAAATTCCTTACAGTTAAGCCTTAATATGTCCTCCTGAAGCCAAGAGTCTTATGTCTTGAGTCAGGGACTTCGGCTGCAAAAAAAAGTGTTTGGAAACTAGAAGGTAGTCGGGGGGTGGGGGAAGAAAACATATTGGGTGGGGAAAAACAGTCAAATTAGACTGAAAATATTTCATATAGTTCCTTGCAATAAATTAGGAACAAAGATGGACTTGTAAATAATTGTCTTTGATTAAACAATAGTCTACAGGCCCACTAGCATATTGGATAGTGAGTTAACCTCCAAGTTGGGAAGATATGGGTTCCAGTCTCCTCTGACACATAATGGCTGTGTGACCCTGAGCAAATCATTGAACTTCTGGGTGCTCTGGGCAACTGTCTCATGACTAGAAGTTTCTGAGAAAGGACTAACTTGCAGAGATCGATACGGGAGTTTCCTCATCTGGATTTCCCTATATGTCAGTGAAATCACAAGTTCAGTCCCTAAGCCTTATCTTATTGGCCCCCCACAATAGGAAAATTAGGATGTGTAAAATCTTCATGGTTTAGTTTTCCTTATGATAATACTATGATGTAGGAAGCGCAACCATTATCATCCCATTCTTAAATAAACTGAAGATAAAAGGCTAAGGGACTTGCCTAAAATTCTACAGCGAGTATTAGACCCTAGCAGGGGCTCAAGCCTGGGTCCAATATTTTCCACTACAGAGGCAGTTAGGTGTTGGTGCATCAGGAAGAGCTGAGCTCAAATCCAACCTCAGATATTTACTAGCTCTGTGCTCTGGGAAAGTCACTTAACCTTTGTTTGCCTCAGTTTCCTCAACTGTAAAATGGGGATAACAACAGCTTCTACCTCTGTTGTTGTGAGGGTTGTTTGTGAGGATCAAATGAGGAAATATTTGCAAAGTGCTTAGCCCAATGCCTGGCACACTTATGAAGTCTTTCTTTCCTTCCTTTATCTCCTTCCTTCCTTTCCTTCCTTCCTCTAAGCATAGTGCTTAGTAGCCTATCTACTATAGTAGATGCTATATAAAATGCTTATTCTCTTCCCCCCTTTTCCACTATACTCAATTTTTAACTCACTACCAAAGGACAGTGAAGAAAGTACTAGGGAAAAGTTGAAGACTAATGTGTGTACATGTTTTCGTATGTATAAGTAAAGACAGTAAACAAATCCCCATTCCTTCTCCTAAATCCAACTCTATGTCCCATGAACCTCGGTCCCAAGCCCAATGAGTCACCACTTGGAAATGGGGCATGAAACTCAGCTTCTACAAGCTTGTAAGGGGAAAGAGGGTGGAGGGGTTGAAACGACAGGCTTCCAGGCCTTCTAAATTAGAACTTTGAATACATTTTCCCCATAGAAACTTTATAAATGATGGTGAGATGATAAAGTACTATTAGAAAAGCTACTGCAATGGGAAGTTGAGTGGCCAACGGTCTGATCTTAACTCTGCTATTATATGATTCTGGGCAAATCATTCATTCTCTCTGGGCTTGTTTCCCTTTATATAAGAGTTGAACTAGATGACCTCCATTGTCCCTTCTAGCTTTAAATTTTGTGACTAGTAGTATACTTTATGTACATGATGGGTTGAAAAAGTCTTTGTGGGTTAGCCTGCAAACATAACCATGCTTTGCAACATTGTTTCCCATGGGAAAAAAATTTCAAATTCTTAACAACTTAAAGACTTTTGAAATAAAATCCATTTTTAAGTTAGGGACCACTTGGAGAAAAATGCTGTTGGATACAAATGCAAAAATCCAGTTTAATAAGCCTTTATTAAGGCACTTTGCTAGGTGCTGGAGATATAAAGGAGAAGAAGGATTCAGACCTGTCCTCAAGAAGCTTATGCTCTAGCAGTTCTTTTTGTGATGGCAAAGAATTGGAAATTGAGAGGATGCCCATCACTTGGGGAATGGCTGAGCAAGTTGTGGTATATGAATATGATGGAATACTATTGTGCTATAAGAAATGATGAACAGGCTGACTTCAGAAAAACCTGGAAAGACTTGTATGGTCTGATGCTGAGAGAAGTGAGCAGAACCAAGAGAACGCTGTACACAATAACAGCCACGTTGTGCTAATATTGATAGACTTAACCCTTCCCAGCAATACAAGAATCTAAGACATCTCCAAAGGCCTTGTGATGGAGAATGCTATCCACATCCAAAGAAAGAACTATGGAATTTGAATGCAGATCGAAGCATACTATTTGCTCATTTTTTTTTCTCTACTGTGGAATTTTGTTTCCTCTTTCTGGTGGTTCCTCCTTTTGATTCTAATTCTTACTTACAACATCACTAATGTGAAAATATGTTTAGCAGGAATGTATATGTTTAGCCCATATCAGATTGTGTGCCATCTTGGAAACGGTGGTGGAGAGGAAGGGGGAGAAAAATTTTAAACTCAAAAGCATATGGAAGTGATTGTTGATAAATCAAAATAAATTAATAAAAAAAAAAGCTTATGCTCTATTGGCAGGAGGTGGGGGAGTGGAGAAGTATGATATGTACATAGAAAAATTAATACAAAATATTTGGAGGAGTGCACTAACAAGGGGGAGGGGTGTCAATAAAGGCCTCCTGTAAGAGGAGACACCTGAGGTGAACCTTCAAGGTTCCAACAAATGCTGGTGAAGAAGGTATGAACATTCTAGGCAAGGAAGAAAATCTAAAAAATGGCACAAAGGCAGAAGACAGAGCGATAAGAGCAACAAATATGCAAAATATGTGAAGAGGAATAATGGCGGGAAAAATCTTGAAAGCTAAGTTGGAACCAGACTGTAAAAGGGCTTGAAATGACAAAAGTCTTTTTATTTTAGCTTAGAGACAATACAGAGCCACAGGAACTATTTTACCCAAGAAATAATATGGACATGTGCTTTAAGAATATTAAATTTGGCATCTACATGAGGGATGATTTGGAGAAGTAAGAGAAGGCAGTCAGGGTCCAAATTAAGAGGCTATTGCTCCAGTCCAAATACGAGCTGATGAAGGTTTGAACTAGGGCTGTGGCCATGTGGCTGGAGAGAAGGAGATAGGTGCAAGAGATGCCATAGATGCAGAAAATTCAAGACTTAGCAACTGACTAGAAGTTTTAATGAGCAACATACCTGCAAAAGGTATCAGTGACAGCTGGATTCTATCTGTAACTCATGTGACCTCAGATAAATAACTTTTCATTTTTATGGCTGCCTCATATATGTTAGATAAATATTAACATCTGTGCATCTCCTGAGACTCCTGTGAATATTATTCAGTTGAAATATATAAATAGCCTTAAGCTTTCTTGGGGGGAAAGTTGCATTCTTTTTAGGGGGAAAATGGTATATATGGTATTAGTGCACATCACAAAGCAAAAAGCACTAAAATTGGCATCAGAAGCCCTGGGTTCAAATCTAGGTTTTGCTACTTGCTACCTGTGCAACCTGAGGCAAGTCATTTCCCCTCTGTGTGTCTCAGTTCTCTTTAAGGGCAAAATGAGATGGGTGGCCAAGACGATATCCAAGGTCCCTTTCAAATCTGAAGATTAACCTATGATTACTAGAATACCACAAACTGAGGCAGCTAGGTGGCATAGTGGATAGAGCTCTGGCCTTGGAGTCAGGAGGACCTGAGTTCAAATCCAGCCTCAGACACACAACACTCACTAGCTGTGTGACCCTGGGCAAGTCACTTAACCCCACTGCCTAGCCAAAAAAAAAAAAAAACACAAACAAAAAAAGGAAATAGAATACCATAGACTACATCCTTTTAAGGGAAACTATAGCTGTAAGTTTGTAAGTTTGCTAAAGTTTGAAGAATTGTACACAGTCCTCAATACAAAGTGAAACGCTACAGCCTTCAAATTTTAAACTGAGAAGAAAGCCCCAACATAACCACAGAAAAGGAGGGATACAACTGGGGTGAATCACCAATTTGTAGCCAATATCAGGTAGTGAAAAGAAAAGTAAAATTTAGGAAAACATTGAAGAATACATGCACTGATTGTCCTCATTCTTGCTGACCAGTTTTAGTCTAACAAGAAATAAATTAAATTAGTAGATGACATGTCTTTCTCATTTTAAAGAGTCTTACCTGCTCTTTGAATAGTTCCCGGAGTGTGGCCATGCACTGTTGTAGGACTTGTTTGTCATCCAGGTTCTTAATGGATGCTACAGCCTCTCCAGTGATGACTGACATCAAAACACTGTATTTACCCTGAAAAATACCAGAAAAAAAATGCTTCCTTCATTTTTCAAAACCTAAATATCTTCTTTCCAACCTGCTATTCCAAGCTGACAGAAGGGTTTTTTTTTTCCCTAGATAAGGGTTTTTCCTTCCCTCAAAATGACTTTTCCTGCTTTTTCCATTCACCAATTCATTCTTTTATCCAGTTTCACTCCTATTTAGGCATCTGCAGAGATATGCAAGCCTTTCTTTAACAAAGCCACTCCAAAACCAATGATCTAATCATGTCAGGCTTTCCTATAGACTTTCAAAATAATAAAGTAAAGATGGAAAGAAAAAAATGCAAAGGTTTAGGGCCAGGCTGAGATTTAACTATAGAAGGCCCTTTCCTGCATGGTAGAGAAAGTCTACCACTCATTTCCATATGAAAATTGATCAGACTTAAGAGTAAGCCTCAAAGACAGGGGCTCCAAAAATAGTTTACAAAACAGCAGCAATAGCAGAACATTGTAAATTGTGCAATGGTCTCAAGCTTCAATTATGGTTGCAGCAGTAAAGTCACTATGTTCTCCCATCTACCCTTCCTAATTCCAGGGTTCCTTTTTTCCCATTAGTCAAAATCTCACCTGGACACAAGATTATTTTCTTGTGTTTTGGACCAGCTCACCAAGTACCTTTGTGGATGTTTAAAGTACCATGATTTGAGCACCAAGGCAGTATTTTGAAAAGTAATTCCTAATTGACCTGAAATAAATACATGCTGCATCCACAATTCTCATACTCACTTTTAAGTCTGAGAATCTCACACTCTAGGAAAACCAGGCCGAACGTTAGAGCTTCTTTCCCATAAAGACATAGATTTCCCCTTAGGATGCAAATCCCTAGGTAATGTTTTTTATATTCTTTACGTAAACAGTGTTTGGTCTCAGAAAATTGGCATTAATCAAACCAAATTCTAGGCTGGAATAAGAGGATTCAAACCACATTACATGGATCTCATACCTGAGGATCCATATCATAAAAGACACCAAAGAGTCCACGCTTGCTGGAACAAGGAGGAACATGGCCAAAAAAATCAGCTCCTTGAATCTTATTGTCCCAAAATCTATAAGGAAATTCCAAGGCAATCTGCAGAGTGGGAGAAAGAGAAGTTTGTCTTAATTTAACTGTTAAGGTATTCCAATACTAATTCCCCATATATAAGCATCTTCCCTTTTGATTGACAGTCTCCTAATTAGATAGTCTTCAGGATCAAGGTTTGGGGTAGGGAGGTGATGCTAAAACAAGGTGTCCCTTAGTCTTAAGTATGAGTGGACCCCATTTTCAGATACCATGTCATCAGAAAAAAAATGACCAAAAAGGAAAATGGGTTTATGATGTCACAAATTCAACAGATATCCTCCTGGTGTCAAAAGAAACTGAGGAAATTCCCCAGTATGTTGGGTAGGATATGCTATCTTGGGAATAGCTTACAAGAAGATATAAATGAGTCACAGAGGATGCACAGGCTTAGAAGAGTTATGGTCTGCACTGATGGAAGTAATACTGACATCAATGAGATCATAAATCCATCGAAACACTGAAGCATTCCTGCCAACATCATTTTAAAGGTTTCTGTAAGTTGAAATCTTGAATATATACTACAAGCTGTATATGGTTACGTACATAGCCTTTGTCTATTTGGACATTTGTGGAAGCCATTAAAGAAGCCTCAAAGTCAAATATAGGTCTATACTAGTTAGCATTGATCAATTTAAGTGGTAAAATTAAAGACTGAAAGAAATGAGGCCAATCTGTACCAAGAGAAGTATAATGGTAAAAAACGGTCCTGAGTCACAGATTTGATATATTAGCTGTATAAGCATAAAGAGCTACTTAATCCCTGACCCTCAGTTTCCTCATCTGTAAAAATAGAGATAATTCTTTGTCTATCAACCTCATAGCACTGTTATAGTTTTATAAACCTTAACGTACTATGTCATGTGAGTCAACTATTATTAGTGGTAGGAACTAGACCTATGATCTCATTAGTAGAAGGAAGCCTAAGGTGAGAAAACTCCCTCTATCAATGCAAGTGGGCACCTTCTCTGAAACTTATTATTTTAGAGAAATGCCTAGAGCACCAAAAGGTTTAAGTGGCTTACCCAGGCTCACACAGTCAGTTAAGCATCAGTGGTAGATCTCGAACCCAGGTCTTCAAATCAATCTCTCTATCCACTATGTCTTGCTGCTTCGCTCATTAACAGAGATCAGAATTGTTATTTATTGTCTCAAAAGCCATAGACATCTTGGCTAGCTCTCTACCTCCTGTTTTACAGATATTCTTTTGGGCTTTTCTTGGACAATTCTGATGATTATTACTTATATCACAAGCAATTCGACTCTATGCTGTCTTCCACTGCCTTTTCATATCACCCAGCCCAGCCTCCACCATTCATTGTCTTTCCTCCTACAAACATGCTGAATAAAAGTAGAAAAAAATCACGCAACCATTCGGAGTAAATCCATTACAAATTTACATTATACACCTCAACCGGGCCCTCACAGCAATACCAGCTCCTCCCTTATCAATTCACTATTCCTCTCTCCACAGCAGCTCTTCAAGACTTTTAACCCCTACTCTCTCAGTAAAGAACTTTGCCTCAATTGAGGTCATTTACCATGAGCTCCCTCTTCTCCCCGCTTCCTCATCTATCACTCAGGTGCCTTCTGCCATTCTCCCTTCCTTCACCCCTGTTTCACATGATAAAGCGGTCTTACTATTCACCAAAACTAAGCCCTCTACTTGTTCAAGCGATCCCATTCCATCCCATCTCCTTCAACAAATTACCCCCACCCCCACCCATCTCATCCCCACTCTAGCACCTATTTTCGTTTTGGCTTTGTTTTGTTTTTTTTCTGTCTAGCACCTATTTTTGATCTCTCCCTCTCTACTGGTTCATTCCTTATTGCCTACAAACACGCTCATGACTTCCCCATCCTGAAAAAATCCTCACTTGATCCTTCTAACCCTGCTAACTACCCTCCTACATCTCTTCTGCATTTTGTAGCTAAGCTCTCCAAAAAGGCTGTCTACAACAGGTGCCCCCACTTCCTCTCCTCTCATTCACTTCTTAGCCCCTTATAATTTGGCTTCCAACCTTATTATTCCACTAAAAACTGTTCTCTCCGAAGTTACCAATTATCTCTTAGTTGCCAAATCCGATGACCTTTTCTCGATCCTCATTTTCCTTGACCTCTCTGCAGCCTTTGACACCGTTGATTACCCTCTCATCCTTGATACCCTCTTCTCTCTAGGGTTCTGGGGCACCATTCTCTCCTGGTTCTCCTCCCTTCTATTTGACCGCTCTTTCACAGTCTCTTTTGCTGGATCCTCATCCAGATCATGTTCTCTAATCTGAGTGTCCCTTAAGGTTCTGTCCTGGGTCCTCTTCTCTCTTCCCTCTATACCACTCCACTTGGTGATCTCATCAACTCCTACGGATTAAACTGCCCTCTCTCTGCTAGTGATACTAAAATCTACCTATTCTCTGCCTCAGCCGCTCTGTTGACTTCCAATCTTGCGTCACCAACTGTCTTTCAGACATCTCAAGCCGTATGTCGTGTGCATCTTAAACTATACATGTCCAAAAAAGAACTCATTATCTTTTCCCCTAACCCTCCCTATCTCCCACCTACCTATTACTATAGAGGGTAACACCAATCTTCCTGTCTTTCAGGCTAACAACCTAAGAGTCATCCTCATCTCCTCACTATCTCTCACCCCCCCATACCTAATCTGCTGCCAAGGCCTGACAGTTCCACCTTTGCAACATCCCCCAAATATGTCCTCTTCTCTTCTCTGACACTGCCCACTTCTTTGGTGCAGACCCTTATTACCTCACGCCTGGACTACTGCAATAGCCTGTTGGTGGGTTTGCCTGCCTCAGTCTCTCCGCACTGCAATCCATTCTCCATTCAGCCACCAAAGTGATTTTCCGAAAGCACAATGCTGGCTGACCATGTCACTCTCCTACTCAATAAGGTCCAGCGGCTCCCTATTGCCTCCAGGATCAAATGACCAACAGTGTCAAATCAGAATCCTCTGTTTGGCATTCAAAGCCCTTCATATACTACCCCACCCCTTTCCAATCTCATACCCTACTTTCCACCACATACTCTTCAATCCGTAGCCTCCTGGCTATTCCACAAACAAGACATTCCATCTCTTGGCTCTGGGCATTTTCTCTGGCAGTCCCCCATTCCTTCTTCAACTCCACCTACTGGATTCTCTAGCTTTCTTTAAATCCCAACCAAAATCCTATCTTTTTCTGGAAGCTTCTCCCAACCCCTCTTAATTCTAGTGCCTCCCCTCGGTTATTTCCTATTTATCCTATATATAGCTTGCTTTGTATATATTTGTTTGCATGCTGTTTCTCCCATTAGACGAGTCTAATGGAAGTTCCTTGAGGGCAAGGACCATCTTTTGCCTCTTTTTGTAACCCTAGCACTTAACGCAGTGCCTTGAAGATAGTAGGTTCTGAATAAGTGTTTATTGACTGATTGATTAACCTCCCCGGGCTTCAGCTTCCTCACATATAAAATGAGGCAGCTATATTACTAGATGGCCTCTGAGCTTCAGATTAATGATCTGATGATGTTCAATCATTATAATCATTTGGCAAAGTTTATTTTGCAGTTTGATAGGAACTCATCAACCTGTGTCTTTCCAATTTTAACTTGGAGTGATTATTGCAAAGAAGTAAATAAAGGGCTCTTTTTAACTAATGCTGCTTCTAAATTTTAAAACTTTTAAGACAGTATGTACCTTGTCTTTTTCACTAGTACTACCATGTTAACATATGCAATTCTATAAAGATTTACTAAATGCCTACATACAAGATACTAGGTCCCGTTTTCATCATGTAGTTCCATCGTAGAAAATCCTGTTTTACTCATGGCTCCCCCAGAGACCTGACCTCAACAGGTGCCAACACCTTGTACTCTGTGTTCATACTGGTCCAGCATCCAATGGCTCATTTTAGAGAACCACTCCAGTAGATACCTTATGCCCAACCATTAACTATTCTATAATTCACAGTGAATTTCAAGCCCCCTGCCCTCCAGGAATGCATCCAGGAAGAAAAATGAGGACCAGCACGATCTAGAATACGATGGAACACCTCACAAAACAACTACTATTGACCCTTTAGTTCCAAAGGCTTACCAAAGTCATCTAAATTACCTTTTCTATGATTCCTGCGCCTAAACTGTTGATGGCTTTTGTTTTCCTCTCTGGCAATGGTGGATTAAACTGAATAGCACCTTTCTGGAGCAAGGACAAAGGTACAGTGACTAAGACCTGTGGAAAACAAAACAATGAGCACATAAATGGCCAAAGGATACAAACAATTTGCTAAGAAAGAAACTGAAGCTATCAATAGCCATAAGAAAAAATGTTCTGAATCATTAATAATTAGAGAAATGCGAATCATGCCATTCCGTTACCTCACATTCAATTATATTAGCAATTATGACAAAAAACAATATAATAAATGTTAGACAGGCTGCAAGGAAACAAGCATATTGATGTATTATGACACTTTGTAGAGCAATTTGAAACTTTTCCACCCAAGTTGCTAAACTCTGCATAACTATTGATCTATCAGTACCACTATTATACTCCAAAGAAATCAAAGAATATATATGTACAAATATATTTAGGGAACCTCTTTTTTGTAGTAGCAAAGAACTGGGAACTAAGGAGGTACCCATCAATTAAGGAATGACTACACAAATTATGGTATATGAATGGAATAGAATAACACTGTGCCATGAGAAATGATGAAGGGCATGGTTTCAGAAGAACCTAGGAAAGTTTAGATGAACTGATGCAGAGGAAAGTGAGCAGAAGCAGGAGAAAAATTTATATGATAACAACACTGTAAAAACAAACAACTTTGAAAACCTTAAGAACTCTGATCAATGAAATGATCATCTATGATTCTGAAGGACTTGTAATGAAATATGCTTCTGTTACCCAAAAGTCACAACACCACAAGACATGGGTAGCAACTTGATTTATTACCAGAGAAAGGCACATGCATGTGGGAACTCCTTATACCAAGGAGTCCAGGATATAGGCCAAGCCTTGGATATTTATGGAGTGGCAAAAAGGGTCTCATGAGAGGAGTGGAGGGCAATCCACATGGATTGCCTCCCACATAGACATGACACAGGAGAAGAAAGTGAACAGTAGGGGAGAGAGAGTTCGAGGGGGCAGGAGGCTTGGGAATGTCAGACCAATGGAGGGAGGATGTTTTGCCTATCTAAAAGTGTCCCAGCTGCTCAGTTTATCAGTTTGGGTAGACTGACTGGAGCCAGGCTTGTAGGGGACTTGGATTCAAGGGCACTGAAAGCTTAATAGAGTTCAGTTACAAAAGATCACTGATATGCTAGTATAAGGGGTCTTTATCTTTAGCGGCTAAGTCAAGAAAACAAGTTCAGGGGTCCCTCCATACTACCCACCTCTTGACACAGATGGACTCAGAATACAAAATAAGACATGTATGTATCTATATACATGCATATATATAGATACATATATATATATGAGTGTGTGTGTGTGTATACACACACATACATATAGACATACACACATTCACTTGGACATGAACAATGTGGTAATTTGTCTTGCTTGTCTATACATATTTATTAAAAAAGGTCTTGTTTTTCTCGGCTTTTTTTCTCTCCCAGTGGTGAAGAGTTGGGTGGGTGGGAGAGAAAATTGATTTTTGTTTATTGAAAAAAATTTAATGAAAAAAGCCAATGAATACACATATGGCAGATGAGTAACACAAATGATCTAAGAAGTTTATAACCAGATTTATAACACTTTTATGATTTCAGGATCAGAAGAGGGAAAATAAAAAAGCTCATGCATAGCATAAGGGTAGAGCCTCATTAACACATTAGCGCACTATCTCTTCCACTGAAATCTATGATTAAATAAAAACAAATATTTCAAATTGATTCAAATATAAGCCATATTCTCCCCCATCCAAATCTGACTCCTATAAAACTTGACTATAATTTAAAACTGTTACTGTTTTTCAGAAAGAGTGTGTGTGTGTGTGTGTGTGTATTTACATTTCAGAAATCTCGGAGGTGGTCTATATTCAGACCAATGCAATATTTACTGAATTCTTACTATTAGCCAGCCAATGTGAGGGATACAAAAAAAAATTAGCAGTATTCCCTGCCCTCTAAGAGGTTACAATTATTAATATAAGAAACAATTGAAGAACAAGGAAATACTAAACTGGGGGATAATAGTTATGTAAAATAAGAATTCTGAGAAGGAAAATCAAATCTGAGGAGAATCAAAATGTGAGTTGGAGCATCTACAGCAGGCTTTGTGGAATAAGTAGGGTTTGAGTTGGACCCTAAAGGACAGACAGTCTTTAGACAGAAAGGCCCATAGGAAAGAGTATTCCAGGCTGCAGAACATCATGAAAAAAAATCTCTGAGACTGCTAAGTCTCAGAAACAGTTTTGACAGAAATAGGAAGTGTATATTGGAGACTACTCTGAAGCGTGTGAAAAAGTTACCCCCAGAAATGAGTACAGCACTAATAGTTACAGACTCTACTAATGTGTTAAGTACGTATTTGAAAATCTAAAAAATACTTAAAAGTCAGATACTTCCAAAATCAAAATCAAATTCAATACTTTTAAAACCAAAGGAGGGAAAAGTACAAACTGCTCCATCTAGGATGGAAAAGTTGTAGGCAAAGTGATAAAAGCCTCATATCTTGATTCTGGTCATATTTTCTTGATAGCAAAAGGCAAGGAGGGCAAACGACAAATACACATACACAAGGCTAGGCTCCAGCAGAAGCAACAAGCACAAAATATAACTACTGGCTGAAGATCTGGTTTTGATACATAAAATATGAGCTGGAAATTATTTGCCTCTAATTATTTTCCTGGATTGACAACGGGAAAGGCTTTATCCTACAAACTGTATCTTGTATTAGGTCCCTAAAAAAAAAATTGCTTTATGATGAAAGCCAGATATGCAGCTTTGCCCAACATAGCTCCTGAGGCTATGTCCCTTCCTTTAGGGAAGTAACATGACCCAGCAGACAGAGCACTCAACTTGAACACCTGGGTTTGGATCTCAGCTCTACCACTTATTATGTGACCCTGGGCAAATTATGTTACCCTCCAGGCCTCAGTGTCTTCATCTGCAAAATGAGGGAATTAGATTAGATGATCTCAAAGGATCCTTTCCATCCTAAATCAATGATTCTAAGTTATACAATATGAACTTAACTACTAGAAATCTGAGTGCTAAAGTCTCTACCATATCGCCATAAATTTACTGTCAAGGCAATTCATCTGGAAGAGGGGGGGTTGTACTATAAATATGGGAATTCCATGGTAGCACATAATTTACTGAAAGCCAAAAAGAACAAATAGATTATTCCACTCTCTTCGAGTTTCTGTCTTATCGTCCCAACCCTACCAGGTCCACTAGAGGGTTTAAGTTTCTGTACAAGGGAGTCTAATAATTAATAGGTTTAAATATGAGAATTGAGGTAGTAAATAAATCAATTATCACAAAAACTAACTGAAAACATCCATTTACAGCAAGTACCTCAATTAGCCAGAATGTATAGGGTACAGGATATTTCTCCTTAACTAAATTTTCTAGTTAATTCAGATTAAATACTTGAGCAATCTTGTAATAGTTCATACAATTTAGGGCTACACATTCCAGACTTATGTTGTTTTCCAGTCATTTTTCAGTCATGTCCAACTCTCTGTGATTCCTTTTGGGGTTTTCTTGGCAAAGACACTGGAGTGGTTTGCCATTCCCTTCTCCAGCTCACTTTACAGATGAGGAAACTAAGGCAAACAGGGTAAAGTGACTGCCCTGGGTCACATGGCTAATGAGTGTTTGAGGCCAGATGTGAATTCAGGAAGATGAGTCTTCCTAACTCAAGGTCCAGCAATCAATCCGCTGCACCATTGAGCTGACCTCATTCCAAACTTAGTAATTCTCAGAGAGTTACTAGGAACAACAACAAAAGAGAGAGAATCTCATTTCACTGCTGTGTAGCAAATAACATAGCATTTTTACTTCTACCACAGCTAAGTGATAGCTATCTCTATTCAAAGGGCAGGCTGGTCTGCTTCATAGAAAGGAAGGGTAGGAGACTCAAGGAATCCCTCTTCACTTTTCAGATTACTGAGGAGAAAAGTATTTTTTCTTAAATGAGAGAGCTTCAGTGTAAAAACAGTAACTAAGAAGGATCTGAAAAGGAATTCTGAGCTTGTAAGAAGGCTGGAGGATAGAACATGATGCAAAGGAAGACGACAGAACACCCAAAGCCAAGTAACAGATAAAGAGAAGGAAGCTAGACCCCTCGGAGAAGCAGCAGCTGTTTGTCCTCCAAGGAACTGTAATATGGAGCCACAGAGACTATGAGGTTAAGAGAATATCCAACAAAGATCCAAGGAAGAAGAAAGACATCCTGATGTTCAGTCCCAGACAAAAGAGACTGGATAGCTCCAGGTTGACCTGAAAACAAAGAGGTCTGCTGCCCTTCTAGCCCACATAGCCCAGGACATAAGGAAAACAGGTTTTCAAGCCAAAATACTATTTCCTAACTTCTGGTGATTCATGTGGTCAAAAACAATCCTGCCAGAAGTAATCGAAAGGGAGCACTGCTAAAGTTCATGATTTCTTATGAAAAAAATGAAATCCTCAAAGCAATTGTTCTCAACAGTGTGTCCTGTTTCATCACATGTACCATGAAACTGTAGATGTTGTATCATTGGAGAGAAAAGAAAATTTATGAATAAATTTAATACTGCTTCATTCTCATGGTTCCCCCCATTGGTTTTAATAGTTCTTTACATCATGACTAATGGGAAAACATGCATACTATGAATGTATAAGTAGAGCCCATATCAAATTGCACACCATCTAGGTGGGGGGGAGAAGTGGGAGGAGGAGAAAATTTAAAATCTTATGGAAGTGAATATTGAAAACGAAAAATAAATTATCAAAAAAATTAAATCTAATATTAATTTTACTCATTCAGCATGTGTTATGTGGGAAGAAAAGCAATAGATACTAAGATGTACTCAAATGAGAAAAACTATATCCAAAAGGGAAATCATAGTGGACAGCATTTAGGGAAAGATTAGCAGGGCCAAAATTAAAAGAGACATTGTTGTTGAAACAGACTACAGATTGCCTGGAAAAAGGAAGTGGACGAGGAAATGTAGAAACACATCTCAAGTCTGGTATGGAGATGGGATATAGCAGCAATACACAACTATGTGGCAC